AGTGCTTAAAACAAATACAAATAAACATTTTAAAATTTTTGAGCAAAGAACCAAGAAAGAAATACATTTTCAATTTTGGACTAGGGGCGAACCTAGTCAAAATCAATTTTGTCACTTTTTTCTTCGAGGGTTTATCCAAATAGATTGAAACTTTGCATAAATATTCTAGTGCTTAAAACAAATACAAATGAAACATCCTAAAATTTTTTTGAGCAAAGAACCAAGTAGGAAATACATTTTCAATTAAGAACTTGGGACAGGTCCAGTCAAAATCTAGTTTCCACTTTTTTTTCTTCGAGGATAAATCCAAATACATTAAAACTTTGTATGAGCATTATAATCCTCATGTCACACATTTCTGAATCACGTTGTTTTTGAATGTACAATCAAATTTATAAAATTTGGGTCTGACGACTTATTGAATACATTTCTTGCTTTAGATATTTAAAACTGTTTTGAATATTAGTATACTCACACAAAGTTTCACTGTAATTGGATAAACCTTCGAAGAAAAAAGTGACAAAATTGATTTTGACTAGGGTCGCCCCTTGTCCAAAATTGAAAATGTATTTCCTTCTTGGGGCTCGTTCACTTATTACGTAACGCAAAAAAACGAGTTTTTAGACCCCCCCTCCCCCCCCTGTAACAAAGCGTAACAAAATCTTAGACCCCCCCTCCCCCCCCCCCCCCCATAACGTAACAATAATTTTTTTCATTTAAATTGTTTATCAAATGTTTATTATACTTCCTTTAAGTATGTAAAATAAACAGTTTTACTTATAACTAAAAAGCAGAGATCGAAGCCGATTTTTTCGGCTTAACTCAATTTTTGATTTTTTTGATAGAAAAAAGCCATTTAACACCCATTTCAAGTATTTAAATTGAACTTTATGTGCTTTACTATGATTCTGTGTAACATTTTGTCAGCATGTAGCTATAGGAAGCTCAGAATTTCAAGTTAGCCGATTTTAAGCCGATCGGCTTAAATTTCGGCTTAAAATCGGCTTAACCTTAGGTTGAAAATAAAATAAGATCACACTTTTAGCAAATCAGGATTTTAAAAGTTTTCTTGTGACAACTAGAAATGTAACATAAGTTTTTTTCAAAATATTGTGATTAAGTCCAAGAACACAATGACTCGAAAAGCGTGGGGCTTTGAGATTTGACGCTTCTCTTACTTAAGAACTTAGTTGAACTAAGAAATGCATCCTTAAATTACGCCCCACGCTTATAGAGTCATTGTGTTCTTGGACTTAATCAGAATATTTTGAAAAAAATTTATGTTACATTTCTAGTTGTCACAAGAAAACTTTTAAAATCCTGATTTGCTAAAAGTGTGATCTTATTTTATTTTCAACCTTTTGGTTTTTAGTCTTTTTGATAAAAGCGTGTTTTTTAAAAAGTTTTTTTAACATTTTTTTTATTTGCTACTTTTTAGTCTCAATCTTTCAATCGAATATCGACCACAGCAATTCAAATTCAACTCCACTTCGTTTTACTCCGTTTCGTTCAACTGTTTATAGATTACATTTGTTCATTCATTTATTTTATAGAATTTAAGTCATACCTGGAAACAGATGAAACTTCTTAAAAAATATCCTGAACTTCAATTATGTGCGCTTTCTGTGCTTTTAAAACATTCATTAGTAAAGGACATTAAAAATGAATCTTGGAGATTTTGTGTTTATATACAAATATACTTCAAGCCGTTAATAAATAGAAAAGTAAATTTAATTAAGTTGGTGAAGTTTTATAAATAATGTAATACATTAAAAACAGCATAAATATATGCTCAAACTATGTGTGCTAAATGCATATCTCATATGAATAGTTATTTTGCATTAATTCGTAACGGACTTGTGCTACACGGTTTTTTTGAAAATTCAAATTTTCACTTACGAATATTCATGAAAAAATTACATGTCAATTTTTTTGTCTTACCGGAATATCTTTAGCTGCTCAAATTTATAGTGTAATTAATATTTAGTAATATTAATTAAACTATAATGAATCACATAAATGACTTTTGAGCATTTCAAGTATAATATTTTAAACAAATCAAAATTTTATATCATTGACATTGGATTGTTTTCCCATATAAAAAAGTTGAGTGCCTATTAAAATAACGAATTTTAAAATTTCGAAACTTCATTTTTACGAACTCACATTTTTACGACCATATCATTTTTACGAAAAATTATTTTTTCGACTTTTTTATAAATTTCAAATTCTAAAATGTCGTTAATTTCATCACGTGTTCTCTTCAATAATAAATCTGCAAAAAAAGATTAATAGAACAAATGTTTTTAAATGTATTGAATTAAAACGTATTTTTTATTCAATATCACATTTCATGGACTACATGTGCATGTTTAAAGGAGTAACAAACACAATTAAGCTCTTAAATAATTTTTGACTACTGCAATAGCCTTTAAACAAAGACACAAATTCTTTCCATCGAAATAGATATCGACAAAAATTTGGCTCGAAAGCCACAAAAGCAAATGCCAGATTTTGAAAAGACAGAGAATTCCATTAAATCAATCCTGAACCGTCGACAATCCGTGCCACTAGTTGAAACATTAAAGGCTATTGCAGGAGTCAAAAATGATTTAAGAGCTTAATTGTGTTTGTTACTCCTTTAAACATGCACATGTAGTCCATGAAATGTGATATTGAATAAAAAATACGTTTTAATTCAATACATTTAAAAACATTTGTTCTATTAATCTTTTTTTGCAGATTTATTATTGAAGAGAACACGTGATGAAATTAACGACATTTTAGAATTTGAAATTTATAAAAAAGTCGAAAAAATAATTTTTCGTAAAAATGATATGGTCGTAAAAATGTGAGTTCGTAAAAATGAAGTTTCGAAATTTTAAAATTCGTTATTTTAATAGGCACTCAAAAAAGTTTTACTTAAATTTTACTATAATTAAGCATTTTTGTGGTTTCAAAATGTTAAAATATTGTATTGTCACCGGGAATACGTGTGAATAAAAAATTTGAGCTCGATTGGAGCAGCAGAAGTGGTCGAAAAATCGATTGCAAGTTTTGAACGTGACAAAGAAACCAACAGACAGAGCAACTCAATAAAAAGCATGTAATAATAATAATAATAATAAAAAAAAATTGAGTTAAGCCGAAAAATAAATCGGCTTCGATCTCTGTTAAAAAGTTCTTAAGTTAAAATTTAACGTTAAAAAAATTTAAAATTAATATAGAAAAAATTTTAAAAAAATATATTTTTTGAAAAGTTACGTAACAAAATTTAGACCCCCCCCCCTCCCCCTGTAACAAACCGTAACAAAATCTTAGACCCCCCCCTCCCCCCCTAGTGCGTTACGTAATAAGTGAACGAACCCTTGGTTCTTTGCTCAAAACAATTTTAGAATGTTTTATTTGTATTTGTTTTAAGCACTAGAATATTTATGCAAAGTTTCAATCCATTTGGATAAACCCTCGAAGAAAAAAGTGACAAAATTGATTTTGACTAGGGTCGCCCCTTGTCCAAAATTGAAAATGTATTTCCTACTTGGTTCTTTGCTCAAAAAAAAATTTTTCATCCAAAGTTTAATTTAAAAAAAATCACAGTGAACTTTTAATTTGAAAAATTCGTAAGAAAGGAAAGCTTTTTGCTTTTTCTGAAGCAACGGCTGTTCCTCCCTTGCCTAAAAACAATACAGCTCTTCTATAGAGCAGCACGGATCAAACGAAAAAACTAGAAGTCTCTTCAATGTCTCGTTATTGAGATTTCTTGCTGATTAACTTGCTTGTTTGCTTGCTTACAGAAAGCATATTTTGCGATTTTCTCAGTAATGCCGCAACCAATTTGAAATTGTTTGAAATCTGTTTTTTGCAAAAGATGTGAAATTCAATGCACAAACTTTTCATCTCTGAACATTTTAAGCTATCTTGCTCCATATCCTCACAAAATTCAAAAAACTGATTTTTCAATCTGAACAAAACCAATAGATTCACACGTGAAAACGGTGTGAATATAAAAATTATTTTTTTCACTTCTTCAATTGCTGACTTAATTTGCAAATCACTGTCTCAAGGGAAGATTGAGCCGTAGGAACAATTAAAATGAATCTCTAGCTTCCTTTTGAGCTTATTGTTTTCTTGGACTGTATTTATTTCTAATTTAATCAATATGACAATTTTAGGGGGGGGGGGGGTTCAAAATTTATAAATTAATGATTTAACAAACAACCACTTAGGTAAAGCCAAAAAAAAAACATTTCACCAATAATCCATGCCTTAATCACATGCACTGTCTATAAGATATCACATGTGTACACAAAAGTATCATAAACCAAAGCATGAGAGTATCAGTTAACAATACACTAGAGGTAAGCTCGCACTTTGCATTATCTGAAAAAGTAAGTAGCAAGGAGTGGCATTTGACGGGATGCACAAAAGGCTGTTGAGATTGAGGACAGAGAATGACATTGACCAACTGAGTTCATTGAATATATTTGAGAAAGTGTAGGCATGGCAAGGATATTAACCTACAATATTGTGCAATGCTGCATGGAAGTTCAGAACGTCTTTTAGTCCATCAAAAATATCTTTTTATCATCATCGACTCCCGTGAAGAGTTAAACTGTTTTTTATTTGATTTTATTTCTCACTCAACAAAACAAAAAAAAAGTTTCAAGCATGAATGGGTTGAGCACTTCCAACATTATTTTCAATATAAATCCGCATTACCCCCTTGTACAGAACCTTCCCATTTATGTATTATTTTGACGATAATTCCTTGTTGTTTATTTTCGCCGTCCCTTTTTTCAAACTTGTTGCCATTCTTGGTAACCTGTCCATGTGTTGTTGTTGCCATGTTAAAAAGAAAAATTGGAAAATAACAAAAAACGGATAATTTAACGTACAAATACATCATAAGAAAATTGAAAAAAATTCGATCGATCATAGCAACCGTATAATTTTAAGGTCGTCTGAGTTATTTTTTATTTTGTTTTGTTCAAAGCATCAAACAAGCCTTGAGAAGAATTCTGACTGGCAATAATTTACTGTATTCAGACAGAAAAAACGTATTATTTTTGGCAAATTTAAAGTATACGAGACGAAAGAGACGAGATGGACCAGCAATTTATCGATCGTGAAAAGGAATTATTCAAGTTAAATGCGAAATTGAATGCAAAATCGAAGAAAATTGCTCCATCAACGACAAATGTTTTGCCGTCTGTGGTGACTATAAGACCACAAAAATCTGTTCAGATTCATACCGCAAATAATAATTTCAATTATTATGATGAAGCTTTGATGGTAAAGGATGGTCAAGCGAATGCGGAGGAGCAGCAACAACAATTTGAATTAATGTGCAAGAAAATTAATATTACAAATTTGCCATCGAAAAAGCCACAGGAAATTGTTTATCCATTTTTTCATCGTCAGACGACAAAACAACAATGTCGTCGTGTTGATATTCATATGCCGACTGGATCTCTTATGTCTGATGGAAAAGCTGATGAATTTAACGATATTAAATCAATAAAGACTGAGACGGCAGCAATTGATGAGACGTCAACTATCAAAAATGAAAGTTTGATAACACGTTATTCTGATGAGACTTCAGCTGTACCACCATGTATACAACCACCAACAGTTGTGGAAACATTGCTTAATAAACAATTGCCACCTGCACCAATTGCCACTGACATCGTTCCTAAATATATTGAGAAGAAAATTAGTAATGATGGTCTATTGAAGTAAGTAGTGATGATGATGGGATGGAAATAAGAATTTTAGATCTTCTCATAACCTTATTTTAATATCTATTTTTTTTATTGTTCACATCATCATCTTAGTTTTGTTGCTTTTTAACATACAGTGCGTAAAATTCGTTTAGCCGCACACAGTTTTTTGCTTTTTTCTTTCTAATATGCAACTTATAAAAATTCAATTATACTGTCAAATAATCTTCATTTATTACGTAATCAGTGAAGCTATAAATAATATTTTTAAAAAAAAGTAGAAAAGAAAAAAATGAAAAAATAACGAAAATTTAAATTTTGAAAGTATGATTCGTTTAGCCGCACGCACTAAGGAAAAAAATTATTTTCAGTGGATATTGTAAACAAATAAAATTAATTTGTAAGTAATTTTAATTAAATAGATTATTATGTATAAAGTAACGCTATTAATTTATTAGATTACTGATTAAAAAACAAAAATTTAATCATACCAAAAGGAAAATACTTAAATGAGACTGAAAAGGCTGTAATTGTTCAATTAAAATCAATTGAGCTGTCCAATCGGGATATTGCGAAGCGAATTAATAGATACGAAAAAGGAGATTATGGCAATAAGAAGAAGACAAAGGGCAATACAAAAATTACAGTATTATTAAGTTTGTAAAATATTGCGAGACTCTGGCCGCTTTAAATAAGTCAAGAAGATGAAAAAACCTATGTGGAATCCTGAGCATATTATAGAACGATTTAATTGGGCATAAAGATACGTTCATTGGACTACGGAGTGGACAAATGTGGTCTTTTCAGATGAGAAAAAAATTAATCTTGATGAACCTGATGGATTTCATTACTACTGGCACGATTTAAGAAACGAAAAGCAATTCAACTACTCTAGAAATTTTGGTGGTGGCTCTTTAATGGTTTGGGCAGCATTCTCAATGCATGGTTAAAACCCGATTGCAAAAGTTACTACTCGGATGAACTCAGACAAATATATTCAGCTGATGGACGATGTTTTGATTCCATTTACAGACGATTTTATGGATGGTGACTTCATTTTTGTCCAAGATAATGCTTCAATTCATGAAAGTAAAAAGACTATGGAATGGTTTAGTAACAAAAATATCATTGTTCTCGACTGGCCAAGCAGATCACCCGACATGAACCCAATAGAGAATCTATGGGGAATACTTGCCCGTTGAGTATATACTCGAGGTCGTAAATTTTCATCCATTCAAGAGCTTGAAGTTAAAGTCCGTAATTGCTGGCGAAATTTATCAACACAGATATTAGAAACTTTAGTCAATTCCATGCAAAATCGTCTAATTAAACTTATACGTAAGAATGGACACGAAACAAAATACTAATTCATCGTTTTTGGGCAAATGAAATATTTTTTTCCTTAGTGCTGCTAAACGAATCATACTTTCAAAATCCAAATTTTCGTTATTTTTGCATTTTTTTTTCTACTTTTTTTTAAAAATATTATTTATAGCTTAGTTCGTTCACTTATGACGTCCGAAATTAACGGTCATTTTTCAAAAAAGAACAATGGATTTCCAGGAATTTCTATTGTTCTTTTCTTGCTGACCCCCCCCCCCCCCCCCCTGGACGTCATAAGTGAACGGCCCCTTACTTGATTACGTAATAAACGAAGAATATTTGACAGCATAATTGAATTTTTATAAGTTGCATATTAGAAAGAAAAAAGCAAAAAAATGTGTGCGGCTAAACGAATCATACGCACTGTATTTTATTGTGACTGGTTGTGTCATTTTGAGGTTAATAGCTTGCTGAAAATTTTAATGATGAGGAAGAATCGTTGAAAATTTAAAATTTCTTTATTTTGAATTTTTAAAAACCGTTACAATTTGAATTTTTGGAAACCATTAAACTTTGAAGTTTTGAAAAACGTTAAATTTGATTTTTTGAGACCGACAATGTTAAAATTGTGGAAACCGTTGAAATTTGTACTTTTGAAATTGATGAAAATTTGAATTATTAATAACCGTTAAAATATGAATTTTAAAAAAAACCTTTATATTCTGAACTTTAAAAAACTGATAAAATTTGAATTTTTAAGGTTTCTCAAATCAAAAGTTGCGATGCTCCAAACGGAACTAGAAGCAAATAAAAATTTAAACGATACACTCGAGAAAGAGAATGTAAAGCAATCGAAAAAAATAAAGAAACTAACAGGACTAATGGATAAGGCGAATATAAAAATAGAATCACAAGAGTCATCATTAAATTCATTACAAGAGAAAAATGTTTGTGCTGAGCAAGGCTTAAAGGTGAAAATTAAATTAAGAACATTAACACAGCTAATTAGATTCGCTGTTTGATTATATTGGTTGTAATGATTGTATTTTTCAGGATAAAGATACCATTATAGGCGAGTTAAATCGCGAGCTATCTACGATAAAAGATGAACGGAAAGAATTGAACCATAATAATCAAGTTATGGAGAAGAAAATGCTTAAGACTCAAGAAGACCATGATATGATGAAATCTAAATATGAATCATACAAAGATATCGAGGTTGTAAGTATCTTTTTCTCCTTCATTCTTACAACTATGAGCTTTTATGGAAGTAATGTATTGCTAAATATAGAATCCAGTTTGTCCTTTAATTTCATACGTATGCTCTATTTTAATACGTCGAACTTATAATGTTAAGTGTGCTTATTTTGTTTCTATAGATAACAGGGCTGCTGTTTGTGTTTTATAACAGTCATTTTTGAAATTAGAAACTTATTTTGAAGAATTTTTTAAAATTGTTGAATTTTTGGTTTTTTTAAAACCTGTCAAAAATTCAAACTTTTTAAAACCGTTAAAAACTTAAATTTTAAAAACCGTTTAGTTTCAATTTTGAGTTTATGTAAACCTTCAATACCAACACTGCTTAAGACGTTCAATCTCAACCTTCAGATTCATACACAAAGTATTCTTCCATCCAAATGATGTTAAATTAATGCAAATTTCTTCACACTTTATTCAAATTGCTTCGTTTTCTTCTTAAATTGTTCGATTAAAAATCTTGATTTTTCATCCACATCTTCTCATGTCCTAATTACATCTTCTCTCTCGCTTGCTTGGATGATAAACAATTTCTTTCTTAATGTTTTCGTATAAATCTACATTCAGCTAAGTTCTCCTACTCGCTGTTTCGTGCATATTTTTTTTTTGCTCTTTTGTGTCATTATAAAAAAACAAGAATTTCAGAAGTAGTCGTAATAAAATTTACCTTTCGCATTTTCAAAATGTTATCAAGAATCAATAAATTATTTAAATTTTAATTTTCTTAATTAAAAATTTTCTGCTTTTGCTTGACAAAAATTTATTATGACTGGGAAATCTGTTTTGTTTGATAATTTCTTGCATTTTGCTTTGAAATAGCTTGTGGACTTGATATACCTTACGTGACCTGTCGATATTATTCTGGATTAGTCTTGTTTGGAATGAGGGTTAGAATTTTTGCATGGAAAGTTGGCAGCAAAGTTGATTTTGGAATGTAGAAAGAGAATCTGTAAAAATTCCTTGTTTTTATTTGCTTACTCGACGCTATATTCTTGATTTTTCAACGATTTAACTTTAACATTCAAAACTCGTGTGGCTTTGAACTTGAATTTTTAAACAATTGAACATTTGTGTGGTGGTTTTTCTCCCGACCTCCGAACAACGAGGTTGTGGAATTGTCAATTTTCCATAATTTAATTATTTACGCGTAGGAACCAGACAGCAAATATAGTTTAAAGTGCATACAAATAACTAAGGAACAGATTAACAAAGGAGAAAACTCAAAAAAGTCGCGATTTAGTTAAATTTGGAGAAACTTTTGAATTGAACAAAAAAAGGTGCAAATTTTTGCACATAACCAATACAAAAAATATAAAACGGAATTGATCATCATCGGAATACCAAAGAACATTTAATTACATTGACAAATCACGATCGGCGGCAGTTGTGAGGAGAATCAATTGGTTCACGTGGGTTTTTTGTGTGTTTACCAACAATCGTGGACAAGAAGGTTCTATCATAACCATAACCTAGACATTGAATTTTGTTGGAAACGGATTATCGTCAATTGTGAGGAGAATTTGTCTCGCGATGGGTTTTGTGTGTTTCCCCATATATCGCGGGCAAGTTCTATCAATCAATTGGTGCTGACTGGATTTCAACAAATCAACATTGACAAACAAGAATCGATCATCTCGGAATACAGCAGAACATATTAATTACATTGACAGATCACAATCGAGACATAACAAAAATTTGAATCTATTTGGAATATCACAAGTTAAATTACAAGGACTGTCAAGGGATCTGGATCATCGACAACTGAAGATGGAATTTTTTGCCTAGCGATGGTTTTTTGTTGTTTTGACTTATCGCGGGCATGTTTTCTGTCAACCATTTGGAGTTGACTGGATTTTATTGATTGTTCTTTGTGTATATTTGTAAATTAAACTACCTGGAATTGTGAACGGTCTTTAAATAGCAATAAGCTGATGGACCATAATAAAGTTAATTAAGAAGAAGAAGAACATTTGTGTGGTTTTGAACTTGATTTTAAAACATTTGTGTGGTTTTTGACTTGATTTTTGAACATTTGTGTGGTTTTTAACTTGAATTGTTAAACAATTGTGTAGCTTTGGACTTGAATTTTGAATAGTTGTGTAGTTTTGAACTTGAATTAAAAACAATTGTGTGGTTTTGAACTTGATTTTGAACATTTGTGTGGTTTTGACTTGATTTTTGAACATTTGTGTTTTTTTGACCTTAATTTTTGAACTTTTGTGTGGTTTTGAACTTGAATTAAAAACAATTGTGTGGTTTTGAACTTGATTTTGAACATTTGTGTGGTTTTGAACTTGATTTTTCAACAATTGTATAGTTTTGGACTTGAATTATGAAAATTTGTGTAGTTTTGAACATTTGTAATGCTACAATTTTTAAATAATTTTTTCCCGTGATTATAATTAACAAATTAAATTACACGAGAGACAAGCAGTAGCTACACTTATTTGAAATTTATTAAGCTATTAGAGGACATTAGATGAATAGAAGAGACTTTTTGTTCTTAATAGACAACAATAATCTGCAACATCAATAACAATAAACGACTAATTTGCTAATAAGTCTCGAAGATTTTCTCCGGCTTAGCTTGAACAATTACGTGTTGTTCCTTATATTTTTTTAAAAGCATTTTTAATGATTATTTATTGTAATTTAACGTAATTTTCCCATTTTATTCATCCAATTCAAATTATATTTTATATCTACAATTGTGTTTTCTTCCACTTAAAATACATAAAATCACTTTACCCATCGTCATCATCATCTCATTCTCAATTCTCTTTATTTTTATATTTTAAGATCATGCGAGAATCGGCAAAGGAGGAGCGACTTGCATACGAGGAAAAGATCAGAAAATTACGAAAGGGACGACTTGATCTATTAAAGGCGTACAAGCAGCAAATCATTCTTATCGATAATCTTAGACGGCAGAATGTTTGCTTAGAGAAAGCAAAGGCGCTAGAGATAACTGAAAAAGAATTTCTCAAAGTTCTCGATTGGAATTTTACTGACAAATGAGTCAAATTGGGGGCTTGATTTATTTGAAAATCGTGATGTATTCTTAGTTTTCTTTTTATAGACTTGATTCTATGACTGGCTGATGCAATTTACATTTAGAATCTTTTTCTTATAATGATTGCAATATATACATCTCCTTAATGGAGACTTGAGAGACTCATTTCTTATTCATGTGCATCTATTAATGGATATGATGATGGCAATAACAATAATAGTACATACATTTAGATATTGTGAATGAGAATTTAAATTTCTGATGTAAGAAATTAATTTTTTATATCTATTCTGTGTATTCCTATAATATTTATCTTCAATGAATTGACTTAACATAAATAATGAATGTTCTTTCTTTCCATTCTAAATAAATTTTATGGATTTGCTTTTGAAAAAAAAGAACTTTTTTTACTATCCAACCATAAAGTTTCACAATTTTCTTCTTTCGCTCGGCTGTTGTTCTTTTTTTTAAGACTTAAATTTTCTCAATGAAGATGTTGCTTTATTGGTATCTTGTCGCTTCGACCGGGAAAGACTCTTGTTCTTTCTCACTGTGAGTTGGTTTACATTATAAAACTGTCAATTATTTTTAATATGTAACTGTATCATTGAGAGATAATTCTCAGTTATCTAATGATTTAATAATAGTCTATTTGCTTTTGTTACGTGTGAACTCTACACCTTAATATTAGTTGGACTTCCTTTATTTTGAATTGTAGGGAGTTTTAGATGATTCTGCAATAATTGTAGTAATGAAATTAGGTTGAGTTTATTTTTACTGTAAATTGATTCTATCTTGTTTGGAAGTATGTTCTGATTATTTTTTTTATAGGACGATATAGCTAATATCGATGATTTTAAGTTGATTTTGCAACAATTTTGACAATAAACGTCTAACATAAAACTTCAGGCTCGTTCTATTAATGACATAAGCTCAATTGAAGAGCACTTAGACTATCTTTTGTAATTGTAGTTTAATTAAAACATACCAAACGGTTTTATTGTAATAAAACGTCTTTATTTTTCGCATTGAATGTTTATATGAAAAGGGGTAAACAACTATGTTACAAATTAATACAATTTAAATTATAAATGAAATTATAAATGAAAATGATTATTATCTGTAACTTAGTTTTTGAATAGTTCTCTAGAAATACTTTTAATTCCAATTTTTAATCGTGTTTTTGTCACTAGTCAAGATACAAAGGGAGAGAAATATGAAAATTCATCAAAATATTGAAAGGGATTGAAACAAAGCGTTAAAAAATTATTTGAATTTAAAAAAAAGCCGTTAAATTGTAAAACTGTTTCAATTAATTTTAAAATACGAAGATGAATTTTATCTTATTGGATTTTAATATAAAACTTTTCATGGCTATCAGCAATAACAATAAATTCGATTTAAAGACGAGAACTGCAGAATACCTTCGAATCATCCCAAAAAGCCAATACACCTTGATATTTTAACTTATAATAAATTGTCATTGATCCCTTCCATTTGGTTTCAGTTATCAGTCAGTTCTGCAGAAAATGTTCATTTTAATAGTATTTTGACTTTCATACTTGTTTTTAATGTTGACCTCATGGATGTCTTACTATCTTTAACCTTACATAAATTATTTTTAAGAGCATAACATCAGTGAACTTTTTTTTTATGTTTCGTAAATTATGGATGAAAAGCGAGTCCAACGAGATCACGGCAAGGCAGAAGAATTCACATAAATTCTTAATCACAAGGAATATTTCTCTTAAATTGCATTCATTAAAAGCACTTTAAATGAATAAAAATTCAAGGTAACTGAAGATGATTATCACAAATAAATGTAACAACATATCTTTTAAAATAAGTATTAATTTCAATTTGATATCATCTCGTACTACAATAATTTTTAGCTTCTCCTTCCTCCTTCTTATTATTTTCTTCTCATGATGTATATTAAATATACTATTAATGCTGCCACTATGCAAGAAGTCGTTGAGCAACTTTTATTTTCTATTTTTTAAATTTAAATCAATGACTAGCGACACATGAATGCGAAAATGAGGGAAAGAGAAAAATTGGATAAAGTAATGCAAAGATTGATGACTAAAGTGCATTTATATGGCTTCAATTAGGGGATTAGAGCTTCAATATTGGTATTTTTAAGGTTTAACGGTCATTTTTTATTTGAATTTTTAAATGATTTTAAATTTTTTTGAACAAAGTTTGTTAAAAAGTTTAAAATTGTAGCGACAACAGAGCATTTATCTCGCAAAAAATTGCTCATTTATCTCTCAAACGCTGATCTAGTGGGAAATGATTCAAACTTGTTTGCAATTTTTTCCAGCACATTTCCTAGGTTTTCAACTTAGCTGCAACATTTTTTCAATCACGTACTTTTCAATGAGTAATTTTTCCGCTGAATTTCATAGAGACCGGAACTGGAAATTAATAAATTTTTTGAAAGAATTTTTTAATTCAGCTTTACACTATGCTAATTTGACTTTATGTCTGAGAATGTTCTTCGTGTGCACTTTGAATAATTTTCGCATTCTTTTTAATTTTTTTTGGATGTTCCTCTTGTCATGTTATACAATGGAATGAAATTTTGTTAAGAAAAATTATGTTCTTGAACTTGAATGTAATTTTGTTGTCATGTATGAAGATTGTGTCATCTTTTTTTTCTGGCAGGGATTAAGAATGATTGATGGGAGTTCTGATTTTTCGATTGTTTGATGAATTGAACTAATTTTTAAAATTCTAGAAACTATGGACTTAGCCTAAAAATTAAAATGTTAAGTAAAAGCTACCAGAACCTCCTTAGCAGATCGGGACACCTTGAAAAATTTCTGACTGGACCACAGGTTCGATCCCTGACTTTATCATTCAAATATTATCATAATTGCCAGCAAGCTCGCTCGAGTCCATCTTAAGTTCAAATGCTAGATATCTTAGAAGACGCGTTCATTACCAAAAACTTCAAAACTTCACCCAAAATACGAGTCTAGCTTCCATAATTAGAATTCTCAACTTTACAGCAAGATCAGAGCTTCAAATAATCTAAGATTGAACCTTAGACCTTTACTATGTAATGCCAATGCTGTCCCACTTACGATATTAATGTCATTTCATCTTTAATTCATTTATGGACGCTCGAATTGTGAATTTTGCACCTCGAATGTCTTCAATATAAAACCATTAAATTTTAATCCCTAATTTAATCAAGCTAATAAACAAATGCATTTTATTACAAACCGCAGGACACCACAAATATTCGGGTTTCAAATTCAGATTTTGTCATCAACATTTTATCGGATACTGTGGATAGGTGTTCCACAAAGGTGAGTATTACTTTCGAAAATCTGAAACTTTTGTGGCACTCCTCAACTAATTTAACTTTGTAATAATTTTCAGAGATAAAGCTGATGATCCCAGTTTTAAGCTGCCAGATCCTGTTCGCACTGATCGTTTAGTCATGATTCATGAATCTAGAACTAGTTCATGCGATGATCAAAAGCAGTTAAATTCCGCGAGTTCGCATTAAAAGACATAAATTTAAAGAGAAAATGTCCTGTTTTATGACATTTCAGCTGATAGAACAGCAATAAAATAGAAGCGCTATCATAAGTGCCTTAAAATTGTCAGATTTATAAAATGGGTCGTTCATTTATGATGTGGATGATGTGAAGGAGGGAGGGGCAGATTTGGAAAAAGATGGTTGACGATGGATAGGTTTGGAATTCTCTAAGTCCACTCTAGCTTCTACTAAAAGTTTTCAATCTTTTACAGCTGAGATTTTATTCCTTAAACCAGTTATGTTCAACGCATGTTCCGCGGCACATTAGTGTGTCGGAAAATTTCACAAACCGTATGCCGTGTGCGGTTGTGACCAACAAAGTGTGACATGATACAAAAAAGGTTGAACACCACTGCCTTAAACCATTTTACACTATCCCAGAAGCCCAACTATATATTAAAGGGAGTTTAGAGGGACCCAAAATGTCGACAGTTCCAACCATGCTATTTTTAATAGTCGTAATTAATGAATAGTCCCCAATCTACTTGTTTGTTTTTTTTCATATGCGCCAATCATTCCTATAAATATTATAAAATAATCCTCACATAACAGTCATGCTACTAAAAATTCAAAGCTGCAAAAAAAAATAAGCAAGAAGTTCTCTCACTTTAAAAGCAGAAGAAAATATAACGAATGATGAAACGTAAAGACAAGAGATTCGATACAAGAGAAACAGATCATAAAAATGTGGTAAATAAGTAATACACATAAAGTTCAAGCTCTTTTTTTGCATCATCAGGCACAGTCATAGGCAAAAATGTATTGAAAAAGAGAAGAAATAAAAAAATTGCATCGGACATAAAGCGATGGAGCGAAAAGCAAGCAGCCTAGGCTAAAATGCAAGAGAGTTCAACAAAACCAGTTTTTAACTTCTGTGCAAAAAAAATATAAAAATAATAAAAAATGGGAAAAAAATTGTGAAAAGAGAAACACAAAAATCCCCCAATCTTAAATCATCAAGTCGCGACGTCAACACAATAATGTAGCCAGGATACTTTATATTCAATTTATAATATCATGAGTGACACTTATTCTCTCCGGCAAGGGCCCAATGCAGAAGTATAATTAATAATTTTCATATTGCAGCGTGGGTACCGAGCCACCTAACTGAAATGAACAACACAGTCTGTGTAGAACCTTAAGAATTCAGAACATTAGCATTCAAGTCACACATGTATCGATATCGTGGGCTTTCAGATGTATTTTAATTTTTGTGTACATCTTATAGAATATGTGTGGTGTCTCAAGGTATTCAACGTCTTTTATAGCGTCTGTATTTGTGTTAAGGTCTGTGTAGCTATAGCTACCTATACGCTCATACTGTATCTCTTTTTATATCGTATACACATCTTACTGTATAAATTTTTTATTCATTGCATCAACCACACAATTCCCCGCTGACGGTGTGATCTGTTGTAGTCAGTATTGTTGTAGCACTCGACGTGAAAAGAGATCCCGCGATTTTTTTTTCTTTTTTTTTCTCTCGTCGATAATCGAGAAGAAAAAAAAGGCTAAAGTGAAGTAAAGGAAAGAAAAGTAAATTTTTTTTTGGCTTTTAATTAAACGTTGCTTCCTCTCTTCAGTTTTAAACCCTCCATACGAAATTCGTGTGTCCATTGTTTTAATGGCAATGTGATCATCATCATTATTTAATATACAAAAATACATTTCGTGCTGTTTTTTTGTTTATTATGAATGAATATTAAGAGAGAAGGAAAAAAAAAATATAAAACGAGATATAGAAAATAAAGTTTCTGGTGCTGGTAGTGAAAATTACATAATTTTCCATAATAATGACGGTTGGGATTGTGAAGTAGAAATATACTTTTTGTTCCACATCAACTTGTTAAGATCAGTAAATGCATATATGAGATAAATGCTAAAGGTTGGATATTTGTCAAAAATCTGCGGAAGATTTGCGAATCTGTGGATTATAATTTATTATGATCATTGATGTTTTGATCGTTGCTGATATTTTTCTCTTCGAGTTTCGATTTGTTGAGTTTATTGCTTCTTGGAAGGAGATTAGTTTTATTTTTGGGGATGTTCACTTGTAACGTTATGCAAAAAAAAATATTTTTCAACTTCCCCCAGTCAAATTTCAAACTTAAGACCCCCTTCCCCTTTTAATATTGTATGCCATTTATGAACAGGTCCAAATTTTGTTGCTAGCCACTTTTCAGTGTTACAAAACTTACGAACGACCCCCCAAAAATAGAAAAATTTGCATTTATATTGATCAAAAATATAACAATTTATTATGCAAATATTCGTTAATTTTAAAATTTGAAAAAATCTTATTTGTGAAAAAATTACCTAATTTACTTTCTCCGAATTTTCGCTCTAATTAATGGTTCATTATTTTATATTTATGCAAATAAGAATTCACAATATTCAACTCTAAAGCTTGCATATTAAGTTTCATAAGTTGCTCTGTAATTAATAAAAAAAAAAAAATTCTCATCGATCAAAACATCATTGACCAAGAACAAAAAAGTTCATTTTTAAAACACGAGCAAAAAAAATATTTTTTAAAGGTTAAGAAAAGTGCACAGAAGTGAAGTGAATTATTACATCAACCAGCAAAAGTGGATTAAAAAGGGAATAACAAGATATCAAGAAGTGGATGGAAAAAGGTTAAGCATCGAGTGGTAGTTGGCGATAAATATTAAAAGAGCAATCAAAAAAGGCCACAATATAGATAAACATACTTTCAGTGTTTAACATTTTATCTCTTCTCCTTTCATGTATGTGAAAAAAATAGTCATAAGAGAATATATATCGTAAAAAATATACACACAATATTTATTAAAAAAATAAAATAGGAACGGCTAAAGTCAAATACGAAACAGGAGATAAAGAGGAGAGAAAAAAAAAATCAAAAAGTCAATAAAAGTGCATTCTTCGCTATCCTGAATGAGCGACACCTTATACATTATCCATAAATTTATGTGCTTCCATAATAACACAAAAGAATTGTTGAAAACAGGAGAAAAGAAAAGGAACGTATCGCACACGCACGTAGACTTGAACCTATCTACCTTCTTTTAATATTATAACAAATTTATATGTTCATAAGGAGTCCTCGTTTGGAACTTCATCTGTGATAAGACGACACCTTATTAGTTCTTAAAAAAAATAATTTTTTTTCCTCTTTAAAACATCTTCAAAAACATACAAAACAACTTTAAATAAAATACATGGTAAGTCTTTGAACATTTTTTTTATAAAAACTTAATTAGATGTTGTGTATCAATTATCTCCCACAGACCACAATAGTAGATAGTTGGGTATAGATATCGAGAAAATAAATGACTATAAGCAGCAGTAAGCATTAAATACAATGAAAATGAAATGAAGGGTTAATTTGAATAATTTAATAAGCGCTTAAAATACAAATTAATTTTAGATTACTAATTTTCAATCTCTAAATTCCCGAGCAACACAAAATGTAAAGTCGTCGTCATAAAGGCTTTAGGACTTTGAAACATTTTGTTTTGTTAACATTAAATGGAAGCTACTTTGAGAAGCCAGAGCTCTAAGTCGAGGGAGTCAACTCAAACCTTATCGACTTCGAGCTCTGTGAAAAGCTAATGAATCGTCACTGTTTCTTCCATTGGTGGCATCACGAGGTTCTAATGTAGTCTTCACGTGATTCTAATATTGTCTCAATGTAGATCACAAGGAGGTTCCACCAAGGTTTCACCAAGTATTACATTAATTGCTAGAAAAAGAACAATGTTGTAGTCCTTAAAGGATCTATGTCGACGACTCTTCCACTTGAGTTGCTCGGGTTCAAAACCTTCCAAAGTCATTGTGCGTAGAGATTTTTTTTAATCTCATCAAAAGTACATGCTACTTGACAACCCATCGACGTTTGTATTTTTTCAATGCACAAAGTGTGTCGAGTGCGGCTGCTGTCGGAATTTAAAATGCAAATTTCATTATTCTCTTCATTAAAACCGAAAAAATTATTTGCATAGAATTGATAATCAGAGAGACTTGAATTGTTACTTACACTTAATATGTACATATCATCAAATGTTACGCAATTCTCTGTATTCATGAGCAATTCATGACCAAAAAAAGAAAATCAACAAGTTGTAATTTTTTAAAAGTCGTAGCTTAAGCGTTGTTGCAAAAAAAAAGAGTTAATGACATTGGGTGTGAGTCACTTCAGGATGTAGTCAGTCAGAAATGTTTTATACAGGTTATGATAATTTTTTTATATTATTTTTTTCTTAAGAAATTCTGAATTAAGGTTTCTATAAATAGAATCATTCTCAACTCTTAAGCTAATTTGCACTGACATTTAAGCAGTGCTCGTTATGGGAAGAAGATTCTCTTGAGAAAATATTGAAATTCCACACATAAATCACTAAACAGTCAAATTAGAAGCTATAACCACTCCATCAAAACTATCTGAAATTCGTGAGTGAAGAATGTACCTTCGCAACTCTCTGTTTGTCGCTCTTTATTTATTTTTCAAGGCAAAATAATCGTGTCTTGTTTGTATATTCGTTAATACAGTCAAAAATGGTCTCTGAACAAACTTAAATCTCAAAAGCAGCTGGTTTGAAGGAAACAAAAATCTTTTTAAGTCTGTGATTTTCAATCTCAATCTGACACCTACGATGGCAAAAAAAAAACTTGATTGTTTTAAGCAAGTCACATATGTGAATTCATTTGCACGGCAAATATTGAAACTCGATTTAGTACTTTATAGTGTCTTGTAATGACGGTGGCGTCAAAAGAGATTTTAAAACTTATTATTATCTTTTAAAGAACATAAACAAGTTTATTTGCTGGTAATGATGAAAAAATAGACGTTCTGTTAGTGATAATTTAATTAAGTGATGCCATTTTGTTGGGAATTTTTAAAATATGGCCTTAGGGGCTGTTCACTTATTACGTAACGCGAAAAAAATGACTTCTTAGCCCCCCCCCTCGTAACAAAATTTGTATGAAAAAAAAATTTTCTTGTTTGAACCGTAACAAAATCTTAGACCCCCCCTCCCCCTAAAAGCGTTACGTAATAAGTGAATGGCCCCTTAGGGGTTGATGCCTTAGGTATATAAGTTTTTGTTGTGGGCCGTATTTCATCCATATTGAATATACCTGGATAAAACATTCGTTAGACCTAGTTCATACCTCAGTCAGACCTGGATCATACCTCAGTCAGAACTGGATCATTCCTCGGTCAGACCTGGATCATAGTTTGGCCAGACTTGAAGATCCATTAAATTTTTTTTAACCAGCTGTTGAATGACAACTCTGAGCACCAAAAAAATAATTCTCAAAATGTCAAACGACATTTTCCTTAAAGTTCAAAGAATGACAACTCAAACCCCAAAATAATAATCTTAAAAAGTTCCGAATCAAGATCTCTACAACTTAAATCTTGCAAGCAAACACGTCTGACCAAAAATAACACACAGGTTGTTGAGTAACACACCTTTATAAGCAAATATGGATCACAAATAGATAAATAAAGTCTTTACGTTCAATAAATTCCGACTTGATAGTTACACATCCGTTTTAGAAACAAGAAAAAAAAAGAAGAAATAATTTTATTTAACAAAATTGTTAGACATTATCTGATCCAAGGCGATGAAGTGTGAACGAAATGAAAAGCAAAAGTAAGAATCAATGGTTGGAGCCAATGCGATAAAAGGCATAAAAGCATTCCATGACTTTATTCCATCCAAAAAAAGAGAAAGAACGAAAAAAAAAGTTCTATTATCTTCAGTTTATGGTAAAATAGGGAAGAGCCATTGATGGAATAAGAAGAAAATTAAATAGTTAAATGGCAGTGAAATTAAAGAAATTAAAATGAAATAAAATAAAAAAAAACATGTTCGGTGGATCTTTTGGTGTTCATATTAAAAATTGTATGTGGAAGAGAAATAATTGTGTGTGAATTGAAGAAACGTGAGTGTTTGTCGATGGATTTATTTTCATGGTTTAATGGATTTTGTGAGTTGAGGAAGATTGGATGATTTTAAGATAGAAAAACAAGGATTTGAACTTTTCGAATAAAAAAAAAAAGATTGCTAAAACTAATGTTCCCATATATGTCATTCACTGTTTAGGATTCGAACTCTAGCTTTGTTGTTATAAAAAAAAAGATTGCTAAAACTAATGTTCCCATATATGTCATTTACTGTTTAGGATTCGAACTCTAGCTGTGTTGTTATAAAAAAAAAAGATTGCTAAAAGTAATGTTCCCATATATGTCATTTACTGTTTAGGATTCGAACTCTAGCTTTGTTGTTATAGAAAAAAAGATTGCTAAAATTAATGTTCCCATATATGTCATTTACTGTTTAGGATTCGAACTCTCGCTTTGTTGTTAATATTTAATATTTCATAATTTGTTCTTATATTTTGCTAAACAAATTTCCATCTTAAATTATCAATTTGAAGAATCTCTTAAACCAATAAAGATAAACTTTATTTTTCCAAAAAAATTCTACAAATAATTCAAGTAAATCGCGCTTAAAACAAAAACAATTCAAATCTAAATGTTAACTTGATGTCTTCCGCTTTAAATTCATTCAAGAAGTCATTTTCATATAGCCAAAAAGCAGTAGTAGAAGAAGAAGAAATAAATCGATTGCTCATGCGATTTAATACACCAGGAACTCATCTAGTTGAAACCAAACAATATCTGAACAGAATCGCATTGTTCAAATTTTTAAGATTCTTGTTTTATGTTTTATATAAATAACATTTGAGCTTTGTCGAGACTCAAACTACCTTGACAGTCAACTGAGGAGGTTTATTAGCTATTGAAGTAGTGAGGAATTTGGAAAATTACATACACAAAAGTTTATGTTAGCTTCTCATTGTTAAAATAATAATCATCAAAAAAAATTGAGCCGAAAACAATTGAAATTGTCGAGCTATTAATTCAATTTTTCAAAGAGACTTTATTTTTTATTAAATGTGTTTCTCTTTTTTTGGCTTTTCAAAATCATTTTAATTTCTCTTCGTTTATTCCAAATAAAATGCCTTCTGTTAAAGTATTTTGTAATTGAACATTTTCTTCACATTTCTTCCATCCATTCATTCTTATTTTCCTTTCATCGACTTATTTTTTTTTTGCTTTGTAGTGTAAATACCTAATAAATGGTTTCGGTTTCATATTTTATTTCATTTTTTTTCGTACAACAAAACCAGAAAAAAATGTATTAAAAAATAAAATCTTGAAAAAAAAAAGTTTTATGCGAGACTTTTTAGACACTGAAGTTGTATTTTTCATGAATTGTTTTTTATTTTGTTGCTGATTGACTTCAATGTCTTGTTATGAATATTTTGCAGTCTATTATTTTATTTCAATTGTATTGTAGATTTTTCTAGGGGATATAACTTTTTTTTGAACTGTTTTTTGATTTGTTTTGTGATAATTTAGAATGATTTGCATAAAGGGATGTGATCTTGATTATTTTTGAGGTTATAGTTGAGGATTATGGTGGGTTTTTGTAGTTAAGATTAGAGGTTATAGTAAATTTTATGGAGATGCAGATAAGACTTTTAAAAAAAGTTTAAGACTGAATTCAATGCATAAGAATGATATCAATTCAAAAACATGTTTATTTGGGAACTTTAAGGGAATATCTAATTCTAGTAACAAGAAACTTAAAATAAATTTATTTAAGTGAGGTTGTAGCAAGACACAATTCATTTAGACTAATTTAAAGCTTCTTCAGAACTAATTTTTTACGGTCTTGTTTTCTAACATAATTTTCAATCTTTAAAAATCTCATACTGTAGAACAATGCTCCTGAACATGTTAAATTGACCACCAACCATAACATTTTCAAAATCTTCGATCAAATTGTTCTCTATTCCTAATTCTTAACCCAAACATTGCCCTCAAGACAGTATATAAAATTAATTTACACATTTTAAAGCATTTTTCAAGACGATTGACCCGAAAACAATTCAATTGGAATGCTCTCGTGATAGAACGGTCATTCACCGTATAAAATTATAAATTTGGATGCTAAAAGTTTGACTGAATACATTCTACCCCAAAGACATGAAATAATGAGAGGTGCCTCCATTTAATCATAATAACTACGGATGCAACCAGGCTATTCAACCTTCATTAAAATATATTGTATCATCAAAAATGAACAGTTTTGTGGATGAGTTTCGTACTCAAAAAAAATTCAATTCCATCCATGTCATTGTCCTGAAGTGCATGCAATCGAAAAACATTTCGTGTCTTCATAAAGGAGCTTAAATGAGCAGTTTTGAAGAGGAGGATCGAATTCTGTTTTTTTTTTGTGAGAAATGAATTGGGGCGTTCATAAATTTGTATCGGAAATCGATACATCGAAATTCCAACTACTTCCAATTAATTTTGGATTTATTAACAAATAAATTAGAGCTAATTCCAACATGTTTGGATTTCTTCTTCACTTGTTGTGTCTCTATCCTTTTCTTAATGTAATGTTTTGACTGCTTCTTTTATGTTCACTGTTTATTAGTCATCTGTTCATTTATAAAATGATTTATAGACAAATAGTTTCCTTCCCAAGATTATTTCATCAATTTAAACTTTTAATATTAAAAAATATTTTTTCTTGTGTTATATAATTTCTTTCAACTTTTTAAAATAAATCAATAAATTTAATCATCGTTGAAAGGAACAATAAGAAGATAGAGGAGGAGAAGAGAAATATTTCCCAATTTAATTTTTTTATTCAATTCCCTCAAAAATTGTACAGAAAAGTCAATGGTCGATTATGGTTGATAGTAATGACTTTTCTTCCAAATTATTTGTTTAAACATTTTTCAATGTTTTTTTTTTGAACAATTTTTTTAAAGGTATGATTTGGAGGTAATGACTAGATTTTGTCTGTCTGTTTGTTTGCTTCTTAAACACAACCTTTTTCATTTCAAATGAAAATTCACAAGTTTCAAATGCTTTCCAACCGTTAATTTTCAAATATTAGTCGACCTCTACAGCACTTGCAGAAAATACAAGAACTAAATGCGTTTTAACACCTATCCATTTGCAGACCATAGCCATGCTAAATTCTTTTCGTGAACACAAACAAATTCAAATTCTTTGCGGGTGATTAAGCGTTAAGGCGAGAAAATAGAGTCAAAGGTTTTCAACTGGAAAGTAACGATTACAGCCTATTAGCATAGAATGAAGAGATTGAATGAATGATTGATGATGTGAATGCATTGTAGATTCAATATTATTATTGTTGTTCTTTGAAGATTCTAACTCTCAAAAAAATAGAATAAATATATTATATATGCTGTGGCATTGAAATTAAACAACAAAATGAAAATGTAATCAGTTACACGCATCACATGACGCTCGATGCTGATGATGCACATTTTTGAATTGCTTCCACATAGAAATTAATTTTTATTTGTTTTTTTTTTCTATTGAATCTTTTTTAAGTGCTGGTTTTGTGGGAAAAAAATCTGTAATTTTGTATGTCTGACTGGCTATTAGACGAAATTGTTTAATTAATTAAGAAGATTTTAAACCATCAATTTCTCATGATTCTGTCGGATTCTGTGGACAACAAAATATTTTTTCGCATGCTAAATTCATGCTTTATTCTCAATTTGCATTTAGGCACGATGAATCTTTTTAACACAATTTTGATTTTTTTTATTAAAAATTGCATAATAAGCAGCTATGGCTTAATTAATAGATCTTTTATTATTATTTCTCGTGTGTTTCCATACAAAATACATCATCTTAAAAAAAGAGCGAGAAGAAAAGATCTTATGTGATATTGCCACAAGACATCTATTGTTTAGGAATTGAAATTGATGATGCAAAAAAAAAAAGCAGCTTCAGCGCTTAATTAAAAACGTCTTGGTTGTAAATTCTCTGATCGGTTTTAGGTCTGTAAAAGTTGCCTTTTCGATGCTCGACTTTGGACTCCCTCTTGTCTTAAGCCACTCCATCATCTGCATAACACGTCCTTGATCGCCTTCTAATCTTCCTTTTACTGTATCTTTTTCTGTATTCATACACCAACCTAATTGAAATGAATCGAAATTATTGTTATGGCCAGACTAGCTAATTAACAGTTCGGAATTCACATTTAAATGCTAATTCAACTTCACAATGTCGTGGACGTCCGAAAATACTGTTTTCGTATCTTTTGGACAAAGCTTAAATGAATAAAACAGTAATTGAATAGTACTTGCCTCTTAATCCTAAGATAATTGCCTGTCTTTCAGTATACTTTCGAAAATAAACGCCCTGAACTTTTCCAAACACTTCAAATTCACAAAACACAATCTTCGACATTTCTTCAACCTTTTTCTTAGCCAACAAAGCTAGTAGTTGTTGTGTTTATCACAGTGAAAGCACTCGACAATAAATGAACAATCAGGCACAAGTTTATGTTGCTTTATTTTGATTCTGATGTGAACGTGAAAAATGCGAAGTGCCAAAAAGAGTTCAATTTACTCAAAAGAAGCCATTTCTATGGCGACCGACCGATAATATCAACAAAAAATTTGGCCTTAATTTTTTTGATTATTTTATATTCTCTATGGAAATTGTTTACTATCTTTCAAACCAAACATGAAAGCTATTTGATTCGATAAATAAAATAAATAGATTTATGACGAATAAATTGATGTCCTCCCTCACACCATAAATGGTGCAGCTAACATTGCAAATAAAATATATATATTTTTTTAGATCAAGTAAATTTATTTCAAGTGCATATTGTAGAATGGATTACTAAAAGGTTACTTGATGCACATATAATAAATACTTCACATTCGCAACACACAAACTTACGTTACGTAACGTAATACGATATGACTAAATATGTGAATTTATTTTATGAGCATCCCACATTTGGTAGCATTTGATTTGGTTGTTTTGCATTTCTGGCTTGTTTTTGATTCAGATGAAATACTTTTAACACATTTTTCAGTATCAGATGCGATTTTTTGCTGTCTAGATTAACTTTTAATTTTTTATAGACTGAGAGTTATACTCTTGCCATTTTTTGAAAGCTATTAAATCATTTTAAATGCCAATAAAGCAATTAAACAAGAAGAATTTGACTAAAAACTTTTTGAGGTGGAAAAAAATTAAAATTGAAAAAATTCAAATTTCTAGAAACCGTTAAATTTTGATTATGAAATTTTCAATACATAAATTTTCACATTCCAACCAGAAACAGATCTAAACCTCTAATCATCCACCTCCGCTACATATATTTTTGCTCAATCTAAATTGTCATCGTATGATTTTGAGCTTCCATTGATGGGATGACGATCAAATATTCATCAGTCGTTAGCCTTGAAATCGGTTGTGGGATTTTTCTATATAAACGCTATTTTTTTGTCAGTATCTTAATGTCTCAATACTTTGCAACAGTCTTAACTAGTAAAAGAGAAAAATATCTTGCGTTTATGAGACTTGACATTGAATTTTTTTGTTTCTTTTTTTTCATGAGAGCGCTTTAATCAAGAGAATAAACACTCATACATAGCCAACCTTTTTTTATAATCCATGAAATTGAATGATCTTTTCTACAAGAGGTAATGATGATGGATAAAAAAAACTTTATTTGTTTGGGATTTCAAGTTCCACTAGATTCTAAACTATTAACCAAATAAAAATATTGAAAATGACAGCAGCAAAATTACTGTTTCGTTACTTTTTTGTTTTCGTCATTTTTAAAAAAAATTGCTGCTCCCTTCATGGACAATGATGTAGTCAGAATAGCTATATTTTTATTCTCTAGGTTCCGAACTAGGGTTAACTGTGCCTTCACTGATTTGAACCTAGCTTAGTATTTTATTACTTTTATAACTTTTATCTAAAACCTACCAAAACTTAGGATAGTTTAAGACCTCCAAATTTTCCTAAGTTACGCTCCTGCTATCTTCAATATACAGCATCACCAAAAAGTCACAATAAAAAAACCATTCAAAAAATTCGCAACAGAATCCACATGGACTCTTTTTATGGAAATATTATGAAAAGATAAATGTGAAAATAAGCAGATTGATGGATGCTGCTTCGTTTAAATAATTTTATTACATCCCCTCATTAACTCGTGAAGAAATAGAAAATTATCGCTTCTATTCTGCTCATTTTTTAAATATTTTTTTTTGTACATTTCATTGGTGACGCCCAAATACTCATTCCATAATGTGTAAAGAATTTAGATGTTAATGATGTTGTATGAAACAAGAACCTTTCATTAAATTTCTATATATAGCTAATATCTCCTGCCTCGAAGAATAGAAACAACATTTTATATACGAGTATGTTGGTGGCAACAAGCTGTAGCTTTATACTCTCTAAGCTTGACTTAAATGAGTTGCTAGTCGAGTATTGAAAGTCGCGATAAAAAAAAAATCATTTAATCGAGTATAAGTGCGTCATTCAATTGTTTATAAGGTATAAAGCTGAGAGATGGAGTCGTAAGAAAGACATTGCAAATTAAGTGCTGTGGTGCATTTTATAGCTGACGATTTTATTGTTTTTTTAAAAAACTAAATGATATTTAAGAAGTTCTGATCAGGGAAGGGTTCAAAAAGCTATCTGAGGTACTAAACCCTATTAAAATTTATTTTACACTCCAGAGAATAAGTACATAAATTGATCTTCAATCCTGGGGAAGGAAACTCGAAGTAGGTCTTGATACAAAACCTAGCAATAACCGTACCAATGATGGCTACGAATTACATCTCCAGTCAGAAAAGTCTGCATACAGTAGGAAAATATGAAAAATTAACCAATTCATGCTGATTTCAATATCAAGATAAGACCAATTGGCACACCAAAGCTATTAAAAAATATTTTTTTTGGCAAGTGCATTAAAAATTAAACCTTGAATTTCTGCCAATTTCAACCATAAAATCAATCAGTTTTAATTCCATTCCAAAGATATCAAAAATTTTAATATTCATCTCAGCATCAGTAAATCATAAAATTTTACAGCACATCACATAAACTCCGTGATTGATTTTTATGGATGACCAAGCAAGTCAAACTGAACACAAAAGATTTCTTAACAAAAAAATGCACTAAAAGAGCAACGACTAAAACGATCGTTTCCCTCCTCCTCTTCGTCTTTAAGCCACAATCAATATATATGATATTTTAACAGTTAGAAGCTCAAATAGCTGCAAGCGCTTCAATAAATTTTCATTTTTTTTATTCGATTCTATTCAGTTTAAGCACTATAAATTACATCTCTGTGTACAACAATAATAATAAAAAAAATTTACATGATTGCTCGTGTGTGTGGACCTTCCAAATAGAATAAGAATAGATTGTTACTTTAATGATAGAATTCAATTTTTTTTTCGAAGACATTATGCTGCTATTTTGCGTTGATTATATGTAAGTCTGTTTTTTACAAGAATATTCCCTCGAGACATACTCTGAGTGAGGCTGACTAACACGAGGGGTCTATCGCTTATGACTTCAAAAATAAAGGTCTTATTCTAGAGATACAAAGTAGCCCATAAACAATACTTTGTGTACGTCACTGAGGAATGATCCCCGGATCATCGTAAAAAAGCATGAAAAAAAAAATTAAGCATCAACAGAGATTTTTGTTCAGTTGGCTTTAATTGCACTGTCATTAGGTTCATTTGTCGGTTCACTTGATGTGAGCATAGAGGATGAACGAAATGAAAAAAAATAATAAGTAAGCAAGTTGGAAGAAGAAGAATAAAGGAAAGAGTCAAGAATGAAGTGAAAGATACTTTTATGATATGCTCTCTCAAGTGTCAGTATAAGTATGAGAATTAATAAATGAATGAATATGAAGGGTGTATAGGCATGCAATATCAGGTTTCTAGCTTTCATTAATGAAAGAGATTCTTCTAAATTTATGACGATGAGAATTTTTTTTTCTAACATTCATTTCCTTCAATAATTCTCATCACGGTAATGTTCTCATAATTATACATGGAAAATGAGCAGGTATTGTACATGTGTAAACATTCATTTTCCGAAAATAATATAGAACAAGTATGAATTAAAATTATTTTCACATGAGATGCGCTAGCGCATTTTATATTCCATATATTGAGGTTAATGATGGGAAATTAAATGCATGGGCAATTTCTTTGGGGTCATTAGGATGGAGTTGAAGGGTCAGCTGGAACGAGGAAGCGATTGTTCTCGATTGATTATTAATTCCTGCTTCATAAGTCTTGTTGAGGATAGTAATTTTGATTCAATTATAGATTGTGTGGATGTTATCTGGAAGGTAGCGTTCTTTTGAAGATTACAGCTTTCAACCGTGTTTATAGTTTGATATCTAGCTAGTATTTCAATGATTTCAAAGAAAGTCACTAGATTCAAGAGTGTTTGTCCTGTTGTATATCTGAATATCTATTCAGATTGACACAAAAGCTTAAATTTTAATATTTTCTGAAAAAAATGATATTAATTGAGTAAAGTATTGTCCAGGTCAGTTGAAATAGGCAAATACATTGAAATTTCACCTGATTCAGGTTGCTGAAGCTAGTTTATAAGAATATACACTTCTCTGCACCCAAAATGTCCAGACAGTCCTACTGAGTCTCATAAGTTCAAAACTTCAAAAGTCACAGTCTTAAAACGTTCTACAATTAAACTTATCTCCCATCAAAACAACAGCTCTCAAAAATTAAGGTCATAGAGTGCATGAAATCTTAAACTTCCTAATAATTTTTGCATCTCACGATATCACGTAAAACTTGATGATCTAATGATACCTCTCACCTTCATTAATGATCCAAAACAAGATTCTATTTGTCACAGAGAGTTGAGATTTTATACGGAACTGCGTAACTAATAACAATTGTAATTATGATGATCATCGACAACGGTGATTCTCTGTCATCATCTTCTTGTGTTGCTGTCTTCTATTCTCAGTTTTAATTTGAGATTTTCATGTGAACATGGAATTAGGGTAAAAATACTTTTACACACATATTTCCTTTGTTCTTTTAAGTCATTGAGACTGAATACCGGGAATTAACAGGTGATTATTCTGTCAAACATTCTAGTGTGTCGTCTCAATATTTCCGTTCAATCATCTGACTCAATTTCAATTATGAGTAAATCTACTGAATGAAGAAATTTTATTATTAATAAGAAGCAGATTAATTGACTATAACTGCAAAATTTCACACATTTAAACAGCTCCAAATCATTCAACTAAGTCTTTTACTTCCAATTTATGGTTTCATAATAGTTCAGCAACTCTCTTTCCGCACCATTTTTGGATAAGTGCGAACAATGCAAAAATAATATCGTTAGTCAAGTCTGTTATGAAATCCTGCCATTTCTTATATATATTTACTGAATTTATAGTGTTGATGATTATTTGATTGTCCAAAAAAAAATTAGTGAGATAATATGTAATAACATTAATAATGGACATCCAGCAATCAGTCAATCTATGTATTTTTTAAAAAAATACTTAACAATCTGTCGCTTTTTAAACC